TCCCCCCCCCCGGTCAGGGCACAAGTTCGAATTATGCATGCCCTTTAGAGGGTTTTTTTGTTGTTGTTGTTTCCATGGTTCATTTCTGATTCAGGGTGCTTGGGTAGTGTCGTCCCAAGTTGTATTGTTCAGGTGGTCTGCAATGCTTTTGCAGTTTCTCAGCGGGCTGTAACACTTTTGCTTTTTTCTAAGAAACATTGCTCCAATCTATTCATGGGGAGCCACACATGCTGGGAACCGGGCCCAGTGTCCCTCATGAAAAAAATACAGATCATTAAGGTATCGGGGCCATTACCCGGCTTCGGCTGTGAACAAATGGCTGAACCATCAGATCTTAGTACTTCAGTCCTATAGTTTCTACCCTCTTTCCTTACTCTACTCTCTGCCTTTCCTAACTACCTTCTGGCTATACAAATAAGTTGAACCTTTCTTCAAATCTCCTCTCACCATCTGACGCCTATTTCTCTCCTATTTCCCACTCCCTTGCCTAGCGTCTTCCTTCAGTAGCCACCCTTCCCTATAGCCTAGCCTCTAAAGAAGCATTCCAAAAGAAGAACATGATTTCCTTGCCGAGCTACCAAATTCTCATCCAGGAGCGAGGTGATCTAGCTATACTTCAGAAAACCAGTTGACAGTGCGAACGTAGGCTTGAAGATGCCGCTGTGAGATCATAGCTAACAGCTGTCCAAATTGGATTCTCCTCACTGTGAAGATGTGTTGGTTATCTCTGCCTGATTCAATCAAGTGCAGGTGCTGTCCTTCAATAGCAGCCACTTTACCCCCTGCTAACCAGCTGTGCGAAAATCGTGATTTTAAGCGATGTTCTTCCTCTGGCCTTGACTGAATCAGTGCCAGCATCTTTCTCCATTTCACTCTAATTTCAGCTTCTATGAGGTCTCTTGTGGATGCCACACTCTTTCTCTGTTATTGCATGTATCGTCCAGAGTGATGCTGCACCTTTCTTCCCACATAACCCGCAATTTATATGTTTTTCCAAACACCTGGAGGTGGTGCCTGAGGTGATAAGAGCAACTCCGGGCAGCACCCCACCAGATGGTAGCATTCTATTGGCGGGGATCTGCACATGCTGCGACGTGCAATGTATGAGACTGGGGCCATTACCCAGCTTCGGCTTAAGAGCTTGAGAAAGACGATGAGGTAAAGGAAGCATTCGCGTGGTTGTCCCGGGGGAAACCGGGACGCCTGGAGAGGAAGACTAAGAAGGCTGTCTCCTAGAGTGTAGCATATCAGAAAGTGAAATGCACTGAAAGCCTAGGATCTAGCAATGACGAAAGTGGCAACAACCAGCAGCATAGGTGCAACATTCACAAGGTGTCAATGTGCACGATGCAAAGAGTGAAACAACGAGAAATCAACAACAACACATTCGTATCATTATCTTCATAGGCTGGGAAGCAGCGCAGCGGAAGATTTAGTATCAAGAGGACACGTGGAAGGGCAAGACACTAGAAAGATTGCCCTTCCGCTCACACACATGGGGAGAGATCCATAGACATGCGAGAGAGAAGGGGGAGGGACATAGAGGTAACCAAGTCCAACCCAAGTCTGATCTCCGAATGTCGCACACAGCTCAATCCCAATTTAGGGTGTAAGTCTGATCTGAATGTCGTGTCCAATAAGGCAGAAGGCCGTGTCCAAAACAATGTCTGCAGTTACCTCTATCTCTACTCTGATAAAGAAGAAGAAGAAGAAGAAGAAGAAGAAGAAGAACTTCGGAGGAGTAGGAGGAGAAGAGGAGAGGAGAAGAAGAAGAAGAAGAAGAAGAAGAAGA